AAAAATAAACATTTTTTTATTTAAAAAATATAAACATAAAAGAACCTGGTAAAACAAATTCTAATAACAGTGAAAGGTTTTTTTCCCCCCAAAACCCTCAAAAATACCAGATTCTAAAATAAGTTAACAAAATATTGCAATAAGAATATGAGGATTAAAAAGGTTGAGGTAAAAAATCAGTTATAGAGCTACAGTTCTATAGACACCACAGAGGACCAGCAGAGCACTAAAATGAAACTTTATCTCTGTAATTAATTATTCCTAATTCATCATTTCCTAAGATTATCTTTTAGAGTTGGAGATGACTTATGTACAGACAGAAATTTTTCTTACTTCTTGTCTTTTCTTAAGATCTTCTTTGGCTGCTCCAAATCGTTTAGTTAACCTGGCTATCTTGGCCTGAAATATAAGCAAAAAATATAAAATCAAGTGACATTTTCAGTATTAGGACAAGATCATGCACATGTAACTAGAAAACCACAAAAGAGTATTCTCCAGCTAGAAATAGACAGTGAAATGTTAGCCAGAAATCAAGGAGTCTACTTTGTTTTTGCAGGTTTCACAAGTTTCTGCCTTTGACATCATGTTAGTTGGATTCTCACCCACTCTACTGTTATCTTTTTAAAAAGTTATTATTTTTTTTCAGTCTTGATAGTTCTTACTGCTTTTCTATCACTCCTATTACTGGAAAACATCTAAATTTTCTTTTTACTCCAAGTTTGGACTTATCCAAGTCCTAGCATTCACATGCTTTACGATATACTAAATCACCACTCACTTATCAACAGTTAGGTTCAAAAGACTAGGCTGTTCTCTGAAAATTTGTACTATATATAAAGGAAGGATGATTATATCATTACAGAACCTTTAAGACAGTGCTATTCTCCAAAGTGATCTATAGATTCAAAGTAAGGTATTAAAATCCTAATAAAAGTTTACTTTTCAGAAACACAGCTCACATACAATGACAAGAGAAATATAAACCAGGACAGTCACTGTGGAAAACAATTTAACAGCTTCTCAATAAGCTAACCAAAGAATCCTATATGATCAAGTCAAAAAAACTGAAAGTAAAATTTAAAGTAGTATTTGTAAACAAATGTTTATAGCAGCAAAATTCACAAAAGCCAAAAGATGAACACATCCTTGAAATGACCAGTGGAGAAAAAAAAAATTGTACTTTATCTATACACTATGACTGAGGGGGCGGGGATGTTCTGATACATACTATAACATAGATGAATCTCAGAAATAGTTAACATAAAGGAAACAAACCCAAAGGTTACTTATTATGGGATAGTGTGTAAAATATACAAAATAAGTAAATTAATAAAGTAAGTAATTGGTTACAAGAGGATGGAACAAGGTGGGAAGGGAAAATAGCAAAGTATTCTGTTTGGAATGGTAAAATGTCATGGGGTAAAAAAGATAGTGAAGACTGTACAAAAATGAGAATAAACTATGTACCACTGAATTGCTGTTGTTAGGTGTTGCTGAGTGTGACTCACAGCAATCCAATGAACAAAAGATCTGAACTTTTCTCTATCCTGTGCCATCCTCATACTTCCTGACACACAAAAGCCCATTGCAGCAGTCACTGTATCAGTCAACCTAGTTGAGGGACTTCCTCTCCTTTGCAAACTCTCCACTTTTCTGAGCATCCCATTCCTCTCCAAGGAATAGCCCCTTCTAGCAACATGCCCAAAGTATGTGAAGTGAAGCCTCATCATTCTTGCCTACAAAGAGCATTCCAGCTGCACCCTCTCCAAGACATATTTGTTTGTTCTCCTGGCCATCCATAGGATGTTCAGTGCTTTTTTCAAACATCATAGCTCAATGGCATCAATTCTTTTCCTGTCTTTCTTACTCACTGTCCAGCTCTCAAATGCACAGCAAGTGATCAGAAAGAATATGGCCTGAATAAGAAGCACCTTAGTCCTCAAACTGTCATCATTAATCCTCAATAATCTGAAGAGGTCCCTAGTTAGAAATTTTTCCCAGTAGAATTTGTATTTCCAACCACTTAATTACATACTTGAAAAACAGATAACATCATGTTAATATGTCTAATTTCAGCTGAAATTATAAATATTAATATATAAATTTAAATCCCAACCAATTGCTTTTGAGTAGGTTCCATGTCATACTTGATGAATGATGCGTTTTCAGAGGCTATAAATGGCACTGAAAGAGACTGCTCACCTTTCTCTCCAGAGTTGCTGATGGACCTCAATCTCTGCCCTTTGCATTAGAAGTACAACTCCTTACCAGAGCCACTGGAGCTCTTTTTTACAATAAGGACAGAATTTCCAAAGCCCATCTAATAAAAACCCAAATAATTTTAGTTGCTCCTTTGCCTAGCCAGAGAGCCACAGATTAGCCGTTCTCTTAACAAGCAATAAGAAAGGACAAAGAAGATGAGGCTCTTTATCACTGATACTGCGGTATGCTGTCAGTAGGTGACCCTATGAAATGTTGCCCCATTCTCAGAATCTAGTGTCCTTAAAGCCATTGTTGCAATCACTGTCAATTCATTTTCCTGCGAGTTGTCTTCGTTTTTGCTACCCCTCCACTTTACCTAATATGATGTCCTCCTCCTTCATGGTCATATATGCCCAAAGTATATAGGGGTGATGTCTCACCTTCCTCACTTTCAGGTAGCATTCTGGGTGCACTTCTCCCAAGCAGATGTAGTTAGTTCATTCTGGCAGTCTGTCACATATATTCTTTGCTAACACTACACAATTAATGAATTGTTCTTTAGTCTTCCTATTTCACTGTCCAACTTTAACACACATATGAAGCAAATGAAAATGACTTGAATCAGGCACACCTTTAAACTGTCATTCTTATTCTTCAGCAAGGTCCTTGGTGGCATACATGCCAATGGAATACATTATTTGATTTCTTGAATGCTGCTTCCATGAGTGTTAACTGTGGATCTAAGTAAAATTAAATCTTGTAACTCTAATTTTTGCTCCATTTATCATGATGTTGCCTATTTGGCCAGTTGGGATGACTTTTGTTTTATGTCGAGGGTACAGTTTTTCATAGTAAGCATGTTAAGTCCCCCTAAATATCAGCAAGTAAGGTTTTCTAATCTGCATATGCATAGCACAGGTTGTTGAGGAGTCTTCCTCCAATATTTGCTCAACATAAAATCTTAACAGGTCTAGTGAAAAATTGAAATCTGATGCTTAGCTTTCCTGATTACAAACCACGTGCTGTCCTTCTGTTTGAACCACTGCTTATTGGGACTATGCAATGATTTGTCAAGGATACAACTAAGTGGCTTGGAATGTACATTCTTCTCAGTTTTATCTACAATTAATTAATTTATGATTCACACAGTTGAACTACTTTGTATCATGAATTAAATACAAACAACTTTCTGGTCTTCTTTGCTTTCAGTCAACATTCATCTGACAACATCAACTGTCTTTTTCCTGTCCTCTTCTTAATACAGCATATACATTTCAGGCTGTTTTCTACTGGTGTACTTCTCTGGTGACAAGATTTATTTTTATAAATATAAATACTGTTCGTTCATTTCTACACTTGATGGACCACTTATTTTTGGAATGGAAACAAATATATTTTCCAGTCAGCTGGCCCAATAGACATTGTCCAAATTTCTTGGCATAAACTAGTGAGTACATCCAAGGCTGTATTCATTGGCTCAAATACCTCAATTGGTATTCTGTCAATTCTTGGAGCCTTGTTTTCCACCAATGCTTTCAGGGTAGCTTGAACATCTTCTTAATTAATCAATGGCAAATTCTTTTTCAAATAATGACTTACATCTTTTTCTAGTATTTCCGATGTTATTCAGTATTTAAACAGAGAGAGACCTCTTCACTACCGCAACTTGAAAAACGGGTGTTGTTTTAGCTTCTCCCTTACCCCTTCAGTTCTCTCAGCTTGAGAAATACTGAGCACGGATTTCTAACTCAAGGTCTTTGCACAGTCCATTATAACTATTTTTTTTCTTCTGTTGAAATTATCTGCTCAGCTCCTTTTGCTTAACCACTTGCTCCTTTTGTTTTACCCTCTTTGCATTCTAGAGCAAGTTTCAGATTCATTTACACTACTGTGGTTATTATTTTCTTGTCTTTTTAATAACTTTTGCTTTCTCCATGTATTATGGTCTTTAAGTTATCCCTCAATTCATCTGGCCCTCAGACATGAGTATTAAACACAGCTAATCTACTCCTGTGGTAAGCTCTATACTCAGGTGAGATATACTCACTGTCACACACTGGTACTCATGCACTTGTTTTCATTTTCTTTAGAGTGGACTTGAGTAACTGTTGGTCTGTTACAGGTGGCATCTAATCTTATTCTGACTGATACAGAGTTTCCACAAACTCTTTGAAAAGAAATAATAAATAAAATTATAAAGTGGCTCCTTTGTATAGTTGCCATGAGTTGCTTTAACCATAAAAAAGTATTTTTTTAAGGTTATTTTTATGGATGAAAGTTTACAAATCTTATTGGTTCTTCATTCATACACATTTTGTTTTATAAGATTAATTATAAATATCAAATAAAGTAATTATTATTTATTGCTCTTTTCTCTCGCCCACTTATCCAATTTTAACTCCTCTGTTCCTTCTAAATATAGTAACCGTTTGCCATTTCCTATTTTGTAAAGATGAACTGCAATGAGTAAGTTATAGGTCTTGTAAAATTCTATCATGGTATTAGGCTTCATTCCCATCCTAAAGAAAGGCAACCCAACAGAGTGCGGAAATTATCGAACAATATCATTAATATCACATGCAAGCAAGATTCTACTGAAAATTATCCAATAATGATTGGAGCAATATGTCAACAGAGAACTGCCAGATGTGCAGGCTGGATTTAGAAGAGGTCATGGTAACAGGGATATTATACCTAATGATAGATAGATCTTGGCAGAAAGCAGCGAGTACCAGAGGAATGTCTATCTGTGCTTCATTGACTATGCAAAGGCTTTTGACTGTCACAATAAGCTATGGCTGACTCTGAGAAGAATGGGAATCCCAGAACATTTGATTGAGCTAATGCGAAACCTATACTTGGAC